TTTTATACATCTGTCATATTTAATATTTTAGAGGGGGGAAATATAAACATTATGCAAATTATCTCACAGAGTTCCATTTGGCCTAGAACACCAAAGTTCTCAATTCAATAAATGGTGATTTAGCTGTTCCTCTGACCTTCTGAGCTCTTGGCTCCCTTATTGTCCAGACCCACAGGCACCTTTCAATTCAGCATCTACTGACCAAGGACATCATGCAAGGCCCTCAGGGGTGATGTTGAGGAGAACCTCATTCCTTCCTTCAGAGAGCTTCCAGCTTCCCTGGTTATTCACAAATAACTAAAGGGTACAACATGCTATGAATGTTCAAAGGAATATACCTGGCTACAGTCCTTTGTATTTCTCCACCATATCCCCAGGAACCTCAATTATATCCATTTTAGTATTTATCCCTCATGAGTTCCCTACAGCCTGGGGGTCCTCTGATTGGAGAGCAAAGACATGAGCTCCTCCCAGAACCTCCATTTATGGAAGGCCCCCAGACCAACCATCCCTTCATTTCTCATCTGGCCATAGTCTTCAGGATTTATCATGCTGCTGAGCAGCTTCTTGACATTCTGTGCTGTGCTCTGAGGTCCCTCCAATACCTACCATTCTTCATGCTAAGGTCCTTTCCTTGCCCTGATGTTCTCTTTGAAATTCATGCAGACTGACTTCTTGTGCCTTCTATGAAGCCTTCAAAGGACCCCGGAAGAGGCAGAGTTCATTACGGTATTATAAACATAACAAATTAATGGGGGATGGAATGCCACCACCTTGTCATTATGCAAATTAGAGTGCCAACTGAATCAGATCTTCCACAATCTCTTGGAGGTAACTGCAGGCAGTCTCTACTCAGTGCTCATTGGGGCCAAGCTAATTAGCACCACCTTGAAACACTTGGGTAAGAAGCTTTTCCCTTAACCTTTGGTATCAGGAGTCAAGACTGCTCCCGCATCAAGGGTGAAGGCCAGGAGAGCAGCCCTGGCATGTCACTGGCCAGGAGAAGTTGCAACTTCACCCAGTGAACAAAGACTTAATAGGCTCACAGAATCTCATAGCTGTAAGGGGCTTTATCTAGTCCAAAACTTGGCTGAGTGAGAATCCTTCTACAATGTCCCAAACAAGTAATTATCCAGTCATCATCTGAAAATCTCTAGTGATGGAGAGGTTGCCACCTTCCAAATTGGGACAGTCCATTCCTCTTTGGGGTATCTCTGCCATGTTGAGTCAAAACTCTCCATTGGCCTCCCACTGCTCCCAATTCTGCTTCTGGGACTAACCAGAACAAACCTAGTCCTTTCTTCTTCAATTGCAGTGCTCCAAGTACTTGAAGACAGTGATCACATCCCCATCCCCTCTTGAGCTTTCTCAGTCTAAATATTGTATTCAGTTCTGGAAACATTTTAGGAAAAACATTGACAAGTGGGAGAGCTCAAAGGAGGGAGGCCAGGATAGTAAGGAACAAGACATATTAGGGTTGGTTAAAGGATCTTGAAATGTTTAGCTTGGAGAAGAGCAGATTTAGGAGAACACATCTACAAATATCTGCAGGGCTGGCAGATGGAAGAGGAATTAAGTTCTGCTTGGGTATAGAGGGGAAACCTAAAGACAGCACAGTGATAGGGAAGCAGATTTCAGCTATATGTGAGGAAAGTTCTCCTAAAAATTAGAGATGCTCCGAAGTGAGTAAGTGAATGCCCCACCACTAGGTATCTTTATTTTATTTTATTTTTTTGGTGAGGTAATTGGGGTTAAGTGACTTGCCCAGAGTCACACAGCTGGGAAGTATTATGTGTCTGAGGACGGATTTGAACTTAGGTCCTCCTGACTCCAGGGCTGATGCTTTATCCACTGCACTAGGTATTTTTAAATGAAGCCTAGATGGGGGCAGCTAGGTGGTACAGTGGATAGAGCACCGGCCCTGAAGTCAGGAGGACCTGAGTTCAAATCCGGCCTCAGATCAAACACTTGACACTTACTAGCTGTGTGACCCTGGGCAAGTCACTTAACCCCAATTGCCTAAAAGCAAAAAAAAAAAATTCAAAAAAAAAAATGAAGCCTGGATGATCACTAGTCAAAGAGGCTCAGAGAATTCCTGCTTAGCTATAGGTTGGAGTAGAAGGCTTCTGAGATATCTTCTAGCTCTTAGATTCTATGAACCCCCTAGTACCTTTGAACAAGCCTTGTGTTTGAGGAAGTGGGGTGGGGGAACCAGGAAAGCTCATCACTGCAGGTTTTGAAGCAGAGCCTGAATGACTACTTGTCATTCCCAGAATAAGGGAATCCTGCTTAGAGAGGAAGAGTTGAACCTGATGGCCTCTGAGGGCCCTTTTATTCAGCTCTAGGGTTCTATGGAAAAGACACCAAGAAGGATTCAGAACACATACTCATTTCTGTCCCATTGCCAGGAAGGTCACCTGAAATACAGAGCAAGTTGTGACCCAAGGAAGGACATGGAAAAAGAGGGCCATGTATTCAGAGAGCTAGGTGGCATTAGACTTAGAATCAGGAAGATTTGCGTTCAAATGCTTCCTAGCTGTGTTATCTTGGGCAAATCACCTAACTTTTCTTAGCTTCAGTTTCCTCATCTGTAAAATGGGGGTGATAATTACACCACTGACTTCATAGTTATGAAGACTGAACGAGAGAAGCATTTTGCAAACAAACTACACACACACACACACACACATGCTAGCTATTATCTTTGGGTCTCAGGATGGTCATTTTTGTGGATATTTGGCATTTGATTCCTTCTTCCTTCTCTTCCTTCAAAATCATTAATCCAACTGCATGTGGTATACTGCTCAGGCTGTAAAAGGTAACTATGAGATTCTATGATTCTCTGACCAAAACACAGCTGCAGTCTTGCATCAAGACAGACCTTCCTCTCCTTCCCTCCTCTACCTCTGTCTCCTGACATAGATGTGCAAGACTGGCCATATTATAAGGGCATTAAATCCAGGTATGCTTGGTTAGAAGGTATAGATAACAAAAAACTTTTTTGGGATGGTGAGCAAAAGTTAGGAAGTCTCTGGAGAAAAACAGCAGGGTTCCCATGGTCAATGATCAGGATATCATGGATCCCACTGTGAGAGTCTCTCTACAGATGAAGGAATTATAATAAATTCATTTTTTTTATGCTGGTAAGGTGTGTAATTAGCAGCACAAAAGTCCAGTCCTTGGGAGGGGGAAGTGCCTTATTTCAAGCAAACCCAAGATATTAAAATCTAGAGTCATAAAAATGAATCGATTAGGACCAAAAGGTCTAGAAGAGGAAGGGGCCCTAAATATCATCTAGGTCAGGGACTCTTACCTTTTTTTGTGTCCTGGACACCTTTGGCAATCTGGTAAAGCCTAGAGACCCCTCTCAGAATAGGGTTTCTAAATGTATAAAATAGAATACGTAAGATTACAAAAGAACACCAATGATATTGACATAGCTATCAAAAATTTTTTTAGAAAAGTTTACAGACCCCAGATTAAGAGCCCCTGATTTAGTCTTGCCTTTTTCAAACTATACCTCAAGGAAAGGCTGAGACTTGGAAGCCTAGAATCAGATATTTAGAGCTGGAAAGGCCCAAGGAGGTCAAGTCTGTCCCCTCATTTTGATAATGACAATAGCTCTCATTTATATAGCACTTCAAGGTGTGCAAAGTGCTTTACACGTTATCTCATTAGATTCTCACAGCGACTCTGGGAGGTGGGTACCATTATCACCCTCATCTGGCTGAGCCTACAGATGAGGAAACAGAAGCCAGATGAAGCGATTTTCCCAAGGTTACATGTGTTGTAAGCAGCAGAGCTGAAATTCAACCTCTGTCCAGTCTCGAAGTCCAGGGCTCCTTTCACTACATTCTGTTGCAATTAGGGGAACAGAACTACATTTTACAAAAGGATGAGCCATAGGACTAGTGTAGCTAGCTGGCTCTCCTAATACAATCATTCGTATTCGGCAAGCATTTAGAGGCACCTACTCTTCGTAGGGCATTGAAACTATGATCCAATTCATGAAAACCCTAGTTACAGGGTCCATGAAGAGAAGCAACACTTGGCTGCTCACCACAATGCCCCCTAGTGGTTTCTTGGCTTATAACAAGCCAGTGACTATGGAAAAGGTAACTGAGGGAACTCAGGATCCCTTAGCTTATTTTTCTATGACCGCTTTCCATACATAGCCAAATTTCCCAAGAGGCCTCTCTTTCAAGGAGAGCTTCATAGATTATTCCGTGTCACAAAACAATAGATTTAGAGCTGGAAGGGACCCTAGAGGTCACCTAGTCCATTCTATAGATTAGGAAACTGAGATTGAGTTTCTGAAGGTCATACAAATAGGAAGGGGCAGAGTCAGGATTTGAAACCAGCGCCCGACCAAATCCAGTGCTCTCTCCACTCTAACATAGGGTCCCCAGAACCTGTATGTGTAATACAAATGGTCACAGCTTTCATCTCCTTAGCATTTTGTGGTTTACCGTTTGAGTATAGGTATCATCTACATTTAAAGATGAGGAGCCTAAGGCGCAGAGCCTGTGGTCTCATAGCTAATAAGCATTGGGATCAAGTCTCTTGTTTCACAGGTCAGCACTCTCCCTAGTTACCATTTAATTTGGGGACAGCAGAGTCCTTCTGAGCCAGTGTAAGTGGCAACAAAAAGTTCTTTTTCCCTGTCTCTAAGGGCTCCAGAAGCACAGACAATTTAAAAGAAAGAAAAGATAGAATAACACCACAAAAAATAACAATTTGTATTTCCCTGGTTAAGGTTTACAGAGCACTTTCCTCACACAGGATGACAGAAGTAGAAGGGATTTGAAGAGACCATCAAGTCCCCTCATTTCACAGATGGGGAAACTCAGGCCCACAGAAGGGAAGTAACTTATTCAAGATCATATAGTAAGTTAGTTGTAGAGCTGGTCTTGAACCCAAATCTCCTGCCTTCCATGACTCATTCTACAACATTACGCTGCCAAAGAGGACTTTCTATGCATTACATAACAATGAGAAAATCATGTTAACAATAGTTTTAATTATAATAGTTAATACTAATAATTATTATTACAAACAATAATTTAAAACTCATGTAAGGCTCAGGAAAGTTACAAAGAACATCACAGTGACAAATGTGGTCCTATGTAATATAATACAAATTCATTTCTCCCCAGCCATAGTCTAATTCCCTTCCAGTGTACCCCTTCCTTTAAAAGCAGGCAGTCCCTCTCCATGCCATGCCTGGCATAGCGCAAGCATGGGGTAGCACCAGGGACTGTACCCAATGCGGGGGGCAGGATTTAAAGAGCTTCAGCTGGGTGCTGACATCAAAGGGCATCCGCACACTCATGGAGCTTAACAGACCAGCCCAGGCCCCAGAGACTGGGGGAGTCGACTGCATCACCCCATGAGCAAGCAAAAGCCCCCAGAATTTAAATCAGAACACGTACAGGACATTCCACAGAGCTCATTATGTTTACTGTCATATCCAAGTAGTCACCAGCTGATGTTCAATACACACAGTCGTGTCTGGCCCTGGTGTTATTGCTAAAAACCATGTTCATTATCAAATCTCAAAGAGTTAACAGATGGCTGGGGAGGCAGGCCAGAACCCACGTGGTGTGAGACACCACGAGATCTTGGTAGGTTCCACCAACACTTAGTTCCAGTCCCATGAATGTTGTGGCCTCTCCCCAGGGATCGGTTTGGAAACAACTTAATTTAATGCGTAGTTAAACTGGTTGGCAAACTTCTCGTGCTTCTTCTGGTCCATACGATTCATAGCCTTTATCACCCGTTTCATCGCCCCTCTGCCAAAAAAAAAAAAAAGGAAGTCACCCAGAAGAGTCAGTCATAGAACACATTGAGCAGATATAGGAGACAGATGGAGGGGGTAACAATCATAAAATCATAGACTGAGGGTTGGGATGGCCCAAGAGGCCATCCAATCCAATTTCTTCATGCCACAGATGTAGAAACTGAGGCACAGAGAGGTTAAATGACTGGCCCAGTCAAATGACTAGTGTCTGAGGCAGGATTTGAAGCCAGAGTTCCCTGACACCAAAACTAGAACCCTATGCATTCCATCCCACTGCCTCTCAAATGTCCACATAAGGGCCACCTCCTCCCTATGAGGTATCTGTGGGAGGTCATGCATTTTTTCACTGAGGCTGCCATCACTGCCCCAGCATCTGAACTATTCTAGGGGAATGGCCTTCATACTCAGCAATACAGGCATCTCCTCCATGCAAAGAGGAGGAGGAGGTAGGGGACAAAACTTCCTCCTCTGAGGGTCACTTTAATTTCTGGGAAGGATCATGACTCAACCAGAGCTCAGCCTGGTAAAGGTGGTCACACTTTGTGAAGCTGCTTTGGGTCTCAAGTAAGGAGGGCAATGACCAGAGTCAGAGTTCTCTGGCCACACCCACGGATGCATCTGAGCTCCTGTACCTTGCACTGGCAAGCCCACGGAAGACATTCCCAACCCAAACAAGGGTCTGCTCTGGAGCGGGCAGCTGACCTGTGGGCTGCTTGTTATGAAGCTTGTTTCAGGACTTGACAGTGATACCTCACAGTCTGAGCAGAGAGTAGCAGATGCCTGGAATGCTAAGTGCTGGAAGGGTCTTCCCTAAGAGGCCAGCCATTCTGAGCCCTGCCTCTGACAAAGGCTTAGGTCCTACAGGACATCAGCAGCAGAGCCATGGCTTAGACCCGGGCATCTTGACTTCTAGTCTGCTGCTCTCTCCATTAAACTATGATGCCTGAGTCATGAAAGAATGCTTAAGAAGGTTTGCAGAAAAATTGAGGGAGGGACAGGTAGAACAAATTTGTCAGGTTAACAAAATTAGCTCTTGTGATATGCAAATAGTTTTCATTTAGCAAGGCCTTATGAACAGGAATAAACAAGTTCACATTTTATTTATCCCACTCCAGTATCACACTGTTCTTGGTGCATGGCTCCACCTTCCCTAGACGGGCACCAGCCCAACAGGTGGCATTGTACACCCACAACAGCCCTGAGGTTGGCAGGGCAGATATCATCGGTTTATCTGGAAAAGGAAGTTTAGGTCATGACGCAGGAGCAAAAGTAACAGGTACAATGCTACAGTTCTGCCTGGGTATTGAGGAAGTGGTCCAGAACTAGAGGAAGGCAGATTTTCCGTGGAGGGCCTAGACAAGGAGCACCCAGCCCAGGCATGCCCTCCTCTTTCACCTCTTCCCCCTCCTTGCCTGCCACCTTGCTTCCTGGAGAAGCCTCCGCCCCAATGTCCTGCTCTCCTGACAGGTAACTCCCTCAATGAGACCACCCTTCACCTCACTCACATTCTCTCATCATCTGCCTTGATCCCCTGGAAAGGCTTTCAAATTCTGCTCTGACAACTCCCACCCAACAGCTTCTGCTTCCAGTCCCCTGCGGTCCTCCCCCATCAGAACGTGAGCTTGTTGAGGGTAGAGACCATCTTCTTGGCTTCATTTGAATCCCAAGTGCTTAGCCTATTGCCTGACACATTGTAAATGCTTAGTAACTGCTCTATCAGTCTCTCCATCGATAAGAAAGGGTGGATGAATGGTTATGGCATGTGCCAGGGCAACAACTAACCACAATGATGAGACTGTGAATCCCCTGGAGGAACAAAGTATTCTCACCACCATGTAAACCCAGGTCTTTTGCCTCCAAGTCTAAGGCTCTTTGCACTATGCCAGGCTCTTCATCAGTAAATGGTAAATATTCTGAAATAAACTCCTTGAAAAGGGAGAACCTACAGCTGCAGCTCATCTGTGATATGTCTTTCTAAATCTAGTTGGAGAAGGGGAAAGCGAATCCTTAGAGTTGCTAGGGGAGTTGGTTCTCTGGCAGACTGGGGGCTCGGCTCAGCATGCTTCGGGTAGGGGACATCACTTACTTGTCAAACACCTTTTTCCCAATCCTTGCTCGGGACGTATTGACTTGCTGCCTCAGGTCGGTCAAGTTTGGGTACTTCCTTTTCTTTCCTTTGCTTTTCCCCTCTGTTGCTTTTTTACTGTACCTGGCAGAGCCAAGGTCCACTCCAGTAGCCGCTTCAACTTCCTTCATAAACTCCACATCTTGCCACTCTGTTAAAAGGAAATAAGTGTTTTAGAAAAATACTTTGTTTTCACTTTTCTTCTATATTCCAAAGGCCTCCAAAAAGCCTCATTGTGGCACAGGTGATCCTGGCTTCACTAAGGCCATTCAGCAGGGCACAATTTCTGACAGGCTCTACCAAGCTGAAGGGCTTTCAAGTATGGACCTACTTTGGTCAAGTACAGGACTGCACCTGCTGTGTGAGTCATTACCAGGAGGATGGCCATTATTAGATAACGAATTATTCAGCCTTTAGCAACCCAGGAAAGAGAAAAAATTACAAAACAGACATTAGGTGTAGCCTCCTCTGTCCCTACAGGGACAGAGGCAAAGAAAAGTGGATATAGGGGCAGCTAGGTGGTGCAGTGGATAGAGCACCGGCCCTGAACCGAACACTTGACACTTACCCTGGGCAAGTCACTTAACCCCAACTGCCTAAAAAAAAAAAGAAAAAAGAAAAGAAAAGAAAAGTGGGCATAGAGCACCAAGAATCACACACGTGTTAGACCATCTATAAAGTAATTGAATCATTAGTATTCTAAATGTGATATTTACTACTAGCACATAGTAGGTGCTTAATAACAGATTTGTTTGTTGACTGATCCTTGTCCAATGACCACCTAGTCTATAATCGTACTGCAGGAACTGAACAATGTCAATGATTCCATTCTTGCCATATATGAAATCAGAAAACAGCTAACTGGAAGGACAGCTTGAAGAGCTAACAAAAGAGTTGACAGGATTAGTTCCATAGTATGCCCAAGGGCAACAAGAAATGTCATTTCATGAGACATGATCATCTCATCTTGAATGAAGATAATTACAATTTTTATGCTAACATCTGTTGCAAAGGATGAAGAAAGAAATTCAACAAAGAATTCAACAAGATCTTCCAAATGTATAAGTACACACACACACACACACACACACACACATTTGTTGACTTCAATGAAAGGCACAGGGGAAGAAGGCAAAAAATTTGCTGGAAAATATGATTCAGGATTAAGAAACAAGAGATCAAGAGGCTTACAGACTACTCGGAAGCCTCATGCCTATATATCATTAATACTTTCTATAATAAAAAAGGTGAAAGGTACTAGACATGGTGAGAACAGAATGAAATTGATTATACCTTAACAGTCAGAAAATTACCCATTAGTAACATAAGAATCATTTATAAGCAATGGGCTATATGTAGTCTGAAACCGTTTTATTATAACAAAAGTCAAGATCAACTCCAAATTAGAAGAAAAATAACGATAAGCAGATACGATGGGCAACTACAACAGCTTCACCCTGCCATATTCCAATAAGCTGCTGACTTTGAAAAAACAGGAAATGGATAAAATAAGATACTGACAGAGACTATCACTATTGGAAGTTTAACCAATGCAAAGCAATTAAAATAATGATGAGGCTAAAAGAGACCAGAACTTGCCTCATCTAGTAAATACTCAACCTCCTTGTCAACTGGAAAGACAGTAGCCAATGGCCACATTAGTTTATCATACAAAACAGTACAGAGGAAGATAGTGGAAGATTACAAACAATATCATTTCATAAAACAGTAAAGTACAGTGGGCGTGGGGGGAATGAGTCTTTAAAAGCTTGATATGAGTCTGAAAGAGGTCATGTTATTTCAAGAATACTTATAGTCAACTTTGAAAGAGGATAACAAATAAGTAGAAAATGTAACAGATCTGTCAGTTTTTCGATAACAAATGATTTTCATCAGTGACGGCAGTGGAACCACATCTAGGTTCTAACGCTTCTCTAAGGTGCTACATGAGAAAGGAAAAGTACACCTAAGAACACAATGACGGGAAAAGTGGCCAGAATAAACTTAGTACATTCAGAAGAAATCCACGCTGGAGTCGGCACAAATTTGAAAACATTGAGGAATAATTTACTCAGGATATCTGAAAGAGCAGAAGATACTACATGAATGGAAAAAAAGCATGAATGTTATTGTCAAATAAAAAGATAATAAAGATGGTGTTAATTATTCATATGCCTACTTTCTCATCTCTAAAATTTTTATGAGAATGATCTACACATGTATGAAGATATCTGATGAAAATAAAAGCAAGAAACAGGAATATATTACAAATATATTTCTACCTAAGACTTCATCTTTAAAGTAATCACACAATTGATTAAAAGCTATAGAAACTATAAGATCCTACTATTTGTTGACTGCAAAAAAAAAAAGTATTGACAGAGTAGGAAGAAACTGAAGCCTTAAAGGCTCTTTTCCACCATCTTGTTTCTCATTCATATATCAAGGTATTACAAGATTCCCATCCAACAGTCCTTTGATTATCAATGTCAAGGCCAGGCAGGTTAATATGTGCTTCCTACAGACATCTGCCAATGCCATCTTGCATACAGTCTAAATGCACGAAGGATTCCCTATGACAGTAAGGTCTTCCAGATGCTCTTTTCTGTAGATGACACTGGCATGACTGCTGCAGGCCCCAGAATACTGCAGCATTTCCTCAATAAGATCCATGATCACCCAGAAGAGATCAGTCCAATATGCCACATAGGAAAAAAAAATGAATGTAGAATGCCTACGTCCAGACAAACAGCTTTGAGTTAGTCTGTCAGTACATATATCCTGGAAAGGTATGCCAGATAGACAATCGACTAGACGTAGAATGAATCGAATAGGGAAAATGGAAGGGGCTGCATTTCATTGGGGAAGTACACAGTGCTCTCAACAATTCTGAGCTGCTGCTCCCTGAAACAAAACCACATTATTCAAACACTAGGAATCTTCCCAGTGATGCTGTAGGAGTCATGACAGGCCACAATCTCCGAAAAGCAAAATGGAGAACTAATGGGAGAACACAGACATGAATCACACAGGATGAGAAGCTATGAATGGATTGTAGTCCACCCTGTGGGAGAGGAGAAGCCACACGGATGACCTCATGGATCCAATTAAGCGCATGTAGTAATGAGCTCACAAGTGAGGAAGGTCAGTGACAAGTTGTCATGGTCCCTTGGGCTTCAGATAAGAAAACTGAGGCAAGGAAAGATTTAATTGTTCACAGAATCACAGAGTTGGAAGGGATCTCAAAGGTGACCCAGCCCAACAAATTCCTGAAACTCTTCTTCAATAACCTCAACAAGTGGTTACTCAACCTTTTTGAGAAGAGCTCCAGTAAAGAAGAAATGCATCCCATCTTTAGGCAGCCCAGTCCACTTAGGGATAGCTCTAAGTATTCAGATATTTTCCCTATCTTAAATCTGAATCTGCCTTTCTGCAGCTTCAACCCACTGATCCTGGTTTTGCTCTCTGGAAGCAGAGCAAACTTTTCAACATGGTAACCCCTCAAATATTGCCATTCTGTCCTCTGCCCTCACAAATATTCTCTAGTTCCTTTATCCAATCCTCAAGGCTAGACTATCATTCTTGGACACCCTCTGATGCTTTCCAGTTTGTAGACAACCCTCCATAATTATGTCCCCCAGAATGAAATACAATACTCTTGATATGGTCTGACCAGGGTAAAGGCCAGTGGGATTATCACCTTCCTAGTGCTGGACACTGTGTCCCCCTTACAGCACTAGTGGGGTTTTGACTGCCATATCCTACTATCAACTCATGTCGAGCTTTCAGTCCATTAAAATTCCCATATCTTTTTCAGATGAACTATTGTCTAGCCAAAGCTTTCCCCCTTTGGACTTGTTAAGTCGATTCTGCAAACTGAATTTAAGACTTTACATTATTCCTGTATTCAGTTTCCTTGTATGAGATTCAATCTATATTCTAGTCTGCTGAAATTTTTTTTAATCCTCACTCTATCATTCAACTTGCAAGCTCTCCCTCTCAGCTTTGTTTCATTTGCAAATAATTTGATAAGTATACCATTTATGTCTTTAACCGTGTCATATTCAAACATATAATACTTACTATGAATCATGCCAAAGGTGAATGAAAAGATAAAAACAAGTATATGTAGTTTGTTACCCAAAACGATTTGAAAGATAAAAGCAGGTATACACCCCAAAATGACTTGGATATAAGAAATGGCAGAAAAGACATTATTGATCTATCTACAAGTATTTATTAAGTGCCTACCTGCTATGTGCCTAGAATGGTGCTAAGCACTGTAGATACAGAGAAAAAAAATTAAACCATCTCTGATCTTAAAGAACTCACAATCAATTAGAAGAGGCGACGTGTATTCAGATAACTATTTACAAAATACGTGCAAATAAATGCAAGGGAATTTTGTTGGGAGTGGGAAGATCAGGTGGTTGTTATTATTGTTTATCTTTAGTTCCCAAAGAGCACCATGGCATTGGGAAGGCAAAGCTATGACTTGCAAGTGAACTGGATTTAAGTGAGGGAGGGCTGTGAAAAGTCACCAGCCTTACTTTCTCCTCCAGGACCATCTGAGTCCAGTGGCCAGATATAGATCAGGACATTAGTAAAGATGGTCACAGATGGGAAGATCAGGAAAGACCTTATATGGGAGGTAGAGGGCATACATAAAGAGATTATATATTATACAGATGAAGTTGAGTGCATCCATACCAATGAAATCCCCAAATCTTTTAAAGTATTTAAATATTTTTGCAGTTGTTTCGGGCTGGGAATGCAGAGATGAAAAAAAATTCAGGCCTTGCCTCAAAGAGCTTACAATCTAGTAGGAGAATAATTATGACACAGATGAGAACAAAGCACAGCTAAGGGAAGGCTTTATTGAGGGAGTGGAAGCTGAGTTGTCTATTTATTTGACTGAAATGATTGGCCATTGCAGTAAAAATAGTCAATTGATATGGTCACTCCTAGACACTGAGCTTCAGGATGGTGAGATATCCCAGTGCCTATCACCAGGCTAAGCAGAACCAGGCCAAAGGAGGTTGGTGGAAGGAAGTCTCAGTAAAGATAACCTTTTTCCCCACTTTAACCTAAAGATAGCTAACTTCTACCAGGCAAGGCTCTGTAGAGAAAGAGGATGCCTGGTGGACACAA